CCTTCCCATGCTATTTTCGGTCAAAATTGACCGGTGTGTTTTGCACAGTGATATCTCTGGAACCCCTTATCCAATTTTGATGGTTGACATCTCATTTGAACAGTCAAAGCAAGTAGAATCAAGGGGTGACAGACAGAATGACACCAGGGCTGAATTTCATATTATTTTTGGCAGTAAGTTCAAAGATAGTGCTTATTTTACATTACTGTATATTATAAAAATGCTTGCCATGTAGGCTGTGTTTACTGGAGATGGAAATACTTTAGTTAGTGTTGTAGCTGAGATTCTTCCCGTTCCAATGATGTATGGGATGTATTGATTTGATACAAGCAAGCCAGTGTTTCATGTCATGGTCCGGACCCACCGTTGGGCCCATCAAGTTCAGCATTCACTGTGATGAATATAAAATAAGACACTGATACTGTTTTTCTCAATGAACATTTATTGAAAGAGAAATATACCATAACAGAACATGTGTGTGTGTGTGTGTGCGTGTGTGTTCATGTGTGTTCACGCACATAGTTGGCAATGCAAAATTGTGGAATGTCACCTCAGGCTCCTCTCCCTCAGGGGCTTCTATCTCAGGGGCCTCTCCCTCAGGGGCCTCTATCTCAGGGGCCTCTCCCTCCTCTCCCTCAGGGGCCTCTCCCTCAGGTGCCTCTTCCTGGTCTGTTGGCTCATAGTCTGGATCGCTGTTGTCTTCCATTTCTGAGACATCTTCCTCTATCTCCTCTTCATCTGGTTCAATCTCCTCTTCATCTGGTTCAAAAAATGTGCCATGTCCCATTCATTTTCTATGGCGGTCAATTCTGACCGAAAACATCATGGGTGTTTCACTGTTGAATAAATCACTCAAAATTCAATGCAAGTGGTGATCATCAAGTGTATATGTTCAGAGGCCTTGTGTGGAGGATAACATAAGGTATTGAGGCAATTGGATGAAAAACACAATATTTATGATTAAAACAAAAGTCATTCGGTCACTTTTGACCAGAAACGCAAGAGAAGGGTTAAGCACCTTCCCCCCGATACCGGGGGGGAAAACGCGTCATCTGCAGGAAACAGTGTCTGAGGGCATCTTAATATTTAATAAACTATGAATGTTTTATATCCATGCAACGGGAAGAAACTCAGCTAAATTATCATTTTTTTTTTTTTTTCAAAAAAAAACGCACAATGCTAACGCTCAGCCTCTGAATTAGCAACGAGCGAAAAATGCTAACGCCTTACTGCACAGAAACCCCGATACCTCTGATGACATGGTGCAAACAGTGGTCGCAGTACTTTATGTTACGTTAGAAAGCTAACTTTTGGTGAATTTAGGAGAAATCTACAGACGCAAATAGACAAACTATAGTAAATAAACACCTAAATGTGTATTTTGTTCATTTTCATGGGACTACGGTGGAGAGAGTCAGCAGCTTCAGGTTCCTCGGTGTCCACATCACTGAGGACCTGACATGGACTCTTCACACAAACACCATCACCAAAACAGCTCGACAGCGGCTCTTCTTCCTCCGCAGGCTGAGGAGGTTCAACATGGACTCCAGGATACTCTGCAACTTCTACAGGTGCACCATAGAGAGTATCCTGACTGGCTGCATCACGGCCTGGTACGGCAGCTGCACCGCCCTCAACCGTAAGGCTTTACAGAGGGTGGTGAAAACTGCACAGCACATCACCAGGATGGAGCTGCCATCCATGGAGGACCTTTACTCCCAGCGGCTCAGGAAGAAAGCCCTCCGGATTATAAAAGACCCCCATCACCCCAGCCACTTATGGCGCATTTCCACTACACAGCCTCGCTCGGCCTCGCTCGTTATGGTTAGGCCTTGTTAGGATTGGCTCACTTTATGGCGCATTTCCATTACAGTTTAGGAACTGGGGTAGTATCTATAGTAACGCAGTGTAGGCGGAGCCGTGACGTCATCTTCAATGAGAACCCCAGAAAAACAACATCAGCCGTTAGCTGTTAGCACTCAAGCTCACAGCGTCTCATATCTGTTCAGAAACTAGACAAAAGTTAAACAAGTACAAACCACAGAGTGTCTGTGTCATGGTGAATACAGTCGCTGGTTTATTTATGTCTGTATAGGCCGTTGTTGTGAGTGTGGACGGTCGGAGCATATATTGCGTTAGCTTAGCCGATCTCCATTTAGACAACGCGCATTTTAAAAGGTTTTTCGCCTGCCGTCTGTCTGCAGACTTGTCAAAGCATTAATTCATGGTTTTTACTAACCGGTATCAGTATGTTGTTACTTCGGCATCATTTTGAAACGTGTATTATAATTAAATCACGGTCAAATATGTTCACCTTGTTGTAGTTGTAGCCCCCTTGCCAGCGATTCTCTCTCTAGTTTAGCATACTCAGTCCGACTCAGCCTGGTTGTTCGTGGCCCGAGAACCACAATTTTATGGGGCCAGAAAAACTGTGAATTAGGACCCGCTAGCCGGTAGGCCTACTAGGCCAAGTGGAAACGCAACCAAAAACGGGCCGCTGACGTCACAGCTCTCTTAAACGGGGCTCCGCGCTGCAGTGGAAACGCGCCAATACTGTTCTGTCTGCTGCCATCTGGCAGGCGTTACCGCAGCATCCGGACTAAAACCACCAGATTCAGAGACAGTTTCATACCACAGGCAGTGGTGACTGGTCATTAGGGGCACAGCCCCACCTAGTGTCAACAGAAAGTATTAAAATAATAATTACAAAAAAATGCAAAAAAATGCAAAGAAAATACATCTTAAAATATATTTTACAATCATGTTTAATCATCTGATTCGTCTGTACATTGCTGTTTTAGTCTGTGTTCTTCTAATTAGTGTCTACAGTGTGCCTATTGAGCCGTTTTGAGCGACGTGGGTCAAGCCCCGATCAAGCCCCTGTCTCTCACTGTCTAATGGCGCATTTCCACTGCAGCGCGTAGCACGTGCCAAACCCGGCCCGATTTTTGTTGCGTTTCCACTAGGGGTAGTTCCAGCTAACGGGTACTGTTTCACAGTTTTTCTGGCTCTCCAAAATCCAGGTTCTTTCCGGGCCAACAACCGGGCTGAATATGTTAAACTAGTGAGAGAATCGCTGGCAACTACAACAAAATGAACATATTTGACCGTGATTTAATTGTAATACACGTTTCAAAATGATGCCGAAGTAACAACATACTGATACCGGTTAGTAAAAGCCATGAATTAATGCTTTGACAAGTCTGCAAACAGACGGCAGGCGAAAAACCTTTTAAAATGCATGTTTTCTGAATGGAGATCGGCTAAGCTAACGTTGTATATGCTCCGACCATCCACACTCACAACAACGGCCTACAGACATAAATAAACCAGCGACTGTACTCACCATGACACAGACAGTCTGTGGTTTGTACTTGTTTAACTTTTGTCTAGTTTCTGAACAGATATGAGGAGCTGTGAGCTCTGAGTGCTAACAGCTAACGGCTGATGTTGGTTTTGTGTTTCGCACTGAAGATGACGTTACGGCTCCGCCTACACTGCGTTTCTATAGTTACTACCCCAGTTCCTAAACTGTAATGGAAACGCAGCATAAAGTGAGCCTGGCCTACCAAGGCCTAACTATACCGTACTAAGCCATGCGAGGCCCTGCAGTGGAAATGCGCCATTAGTGAATGGGTGCTGTAAAAACGACACTGCGCATGCTCAGAGTCTTTTTCTATTCAATGTGTGTGGCAACAAAAATAATCACCATAGGGGCACTGTGCTGACATACCCACCAAACGTCATCTCACATAATTCAGAGCTGATTGGCTGTAAGTACGTGTGCCGCGAAAAGTGTAGTGTGTGAAGAGGAGACGAGAGAGCTGCAGTGACGCGTCCTAAAATCCGGAAGTAAGCTGCGCATGGCTTCCCTCGACAAAAAAGCAATGAGATTTCTCCATAGGATTTTAGAAAATAGCTCGAAATAAGATCTGTGGGAAACGTACCTGTTAGATAAATGCACGTTTTGTTCAGCCGGATAATATCCACATGTCTACCCTACTTTTATAATTTTCGAATCATAAATCTATCGATCATAAATCTATCGATTACATTTATGATTCGACTTTTGAAACTTCAAGAAGATAAGGACGACTTTTACAAAAAAGTAATAGAGATTTTTGTCCAGAAGGATAGGCAAATGGACTTCATCTTCAAGTCAAGGTAAGACCACAATTGTATTGAAAATGGGATCTTACTAAGAGAGAACAATTCAATATTTAAATGATAAAATTACATTTTTTGGGTATCTTTTTGTTGAACTGTCTGTTTAAAATTAATCGAAGCATCAGACAAAAAAAGCTTTTGAAAATAATATTATATTTTGGTTTAGGTCAAAATATAATATTTGTAAACCTGAAGAGTCAGAGCCAGTGCCTCACCAGCCATGAACCTCACTGCAGAAGCTTATATATAAACATCTACGTTTTTTGTGCCCCACCACTTTTGTACATATAAAAACGCCACTGACCACAGGCAATAAGACTGCTAAACACCTGAACTGTTGAAACAACATCCATAACATTCATCTGCTACTTAATAATTATGTATCTATTTCTCTAATATATCATTCAAATAACTTGCATATAGACTCTTATTGCACTATTTCACTTTTTAAACTATTTTTCTTTTTGTATTTACTATTTACTTGCACTATATTTTTCTGTTTATCTGTGTTTTGTGTTGCACTGTTGGAGAAGCCTGTGACCTCAGATTTTCATCGGCATAACTACACTGTAGCTATGTTCGTATGACAAAATAAAGAACCTTGAACCTTGACTATTCAATACATCTGTGTTAAGTTAATAACAAGTTTTACGACAGTCATGACTGATAATTATTCGTATTCCCTGTTAGTAATGCAAGTTCTAAGAACAATGGGATTATTGGGCTGCAAACACCAGTACAGTCCTTTTGAAATCGTGCATTGTACGATTCCCTGGAAACAACAATTACACTGTACAGATCTTAAATGTCCTGAAAGAATGGAATACATATTATTTGTATTAGTAATATAATTTATTCTGCATTATTTTTACAACAAAACACAGTATTGCAAACATTTAAATCATCCTTTACATAAAGAATTGTACATCATCTACAAAAAAACACAATTATTTCATAATTACATAATATTACATCAAGTATGAAATCACACTTAGAATCAGTTTAGAGGTCACTTATTCGTTGTAATAAGAGACACTTTTATAGGATAAGGGTCAGTAAGATTTTTGAATATGATGTTCAGAAATAATCATTTAAAACATAGAAAACATTGAGAATGTAATCAAATGCAATAAAACTCTTGCAGAAATGATATCAAACATAAGGTATTGCAGGGAATATAAGTACAGAATCACATGTTTACCAAATACAATTTCTATACATTTCACACGTGCAAATCTTACTGACACTTAATCGGCACCATAGATTAAAGAAAAAATGCTCTTGTGGTAAAACTTGTACTGAAACTTGGTATGGCCATAACGATGGTTTTGAAATGTACCTAACACACTGGAATATTGTTATTTAAAAATGTTTAACATTGGTTATTCTGTTGTGCCGATGATAGAGTTCACATGTCTGATTCACACTTAAATGTAGAACAAATGATAGGGATGGCAAGTCATTACATTTGTTTGACACACAAATGTAAGCATATATATGTCAATAATATTTTTAATCAATGTATCATTGTTTCCATCAAGTGTTATCTTCAACTGGAACCCAGAAGGATATCTTCTTGCATATCTTTTCCTCAATAATAATTTAAAAAATATACCATTAATAATGTATTAGTAGGAAAATAATGCTGTAAAATACTCTGTATATGAGAATTACGTCAATGAATCATAATTTCATCTTAACTGAGGTGCAGTGTTGCACTGTAGGGTTCTGGCAAAACATTAGTCCACAGGGACATTACATTTCAAAGTGCACAGTTGGAATTATTTTAAGGCACACACACTGTATTTCAGCTTTCGGACACGTTGTGTAGTCGTGATTGTTTCTGGGTTCTAGAGTTTTGGACGGAGGGACCCGACCACCGGCTTGTCGGAGCAGAACTCCTTCCACCATGAAGGCCGCTCCATCACCTGGTTGCCCTGCATCACTGTGGACCACAGGTTCTTGTAGAGCTACGTGAAGGAGAACAAGGAGAAGAGGTCACTGACCGCTCTGATCCACGATCTTTAGTTTGTTGTAACCTTTTATTTTCTTAGACATCATACTGCTAATGCACCGTTCTATTGTGATATCGTAATGTGAGTTTATGTGGTTGGGAATCAAGGATCCTGTAGAGTCCGATACATCCAACACCTCCGACACCTCCAACACCCCTCACTCAAATTGTCTGTCTTTTCATTGGTCTAAAGATCACAAGACCTTTATGGTTCTGTGATCGTAGAAAAAAAGACTGGCTATCCGTGACTGCATCACTGTTTATAGTCTTTTTTAATTTTCTTATCAAATGGTCGGCCTCCATTTTCCATTTTCACATCTATCTGGTTTTTACCAGTTGCTGATTTTTGGAACATGGGCTGTTGTTGTTCTAACGGTGGAACGTTTGGTAACATATCGCCCAACCACAATGACAATACTCAAGTAATTCATGACAATATACTGTATATTATTCTTGTGAATCCTCCATTGACTGTTGAACCTATCCTTTTTGGGTGTTCATTTGATGTTAGCTGCTAATGTTAGCATGCTTTGTCAATTAGCTTACTGTGTTGGGTTACAGTTTGGAAACATTTAGGAAAACAAAGCTTTTCTTCAGGATTTCAAGATCCAGTCTGTTGGAATCACATAAGACCAGTCACAGATGAAAGTATAGCGAGCTAGCTTACTTGCTGTACATTAGCCCAGCACATCAGAACATGCTCAGTGTTTCTCATATAACAGAGGAACATCCTGTTTGTATTGACCTTTTGGTTGGGACTTGGTTAGACATCTTTATACAATTTTTTGATATGGTAGAGTAGCCTTTCTGTATATTCTGAGCTGTCATCAACACTTCCTGTCCAAACAAAAACAATGCAATCAAACTGCCTTTTGGAAACGAACCAACGACAAGAAGAGACAAAGCTGTCATCTTGAGAATAATATAAACATACTGCTGGCCTTCCAAATGTCACAACTTAAACGGATTTGATTAAAAAAAACAGCTCACAACCTCAATATGTATGTGTTACGACCACAGCTGAAGAGGAAGTTTGTTTATGTGGGTTAATGAAGATTCCGGAAAGTTACAGACTTGCTGAGAAACTTGGCAGGGTTAGGTTGTGGTCGAATTGTACTTTGTTTTGAACACTACATTAACCAAAAGGCCACATATGAGCGTTCCTTTCTATAAAGGTAGAGACCTGAACATCAGCAGGAGAGGACTCTTTAAAGTAGAGACACTACATACTGATATACACCTGAACATCAGCAAGAGAGGACTCTTTAAAGTAGAGACACTACATACTGATATACACCTGAACATCAGCAGGAGAGGACTCTTTAAAGTAGAGACACTACATACTGATATACACCTGAACATCAGCAGGAGAGGACTCTTTAAAATAGAGACACTACATACTGATATACACCTGAACATCAGCAGGAGAGGACTCTTTAAAGTAGAGACACTACATACTGATATACACCTGAACATCAGCAGGAGAGGACTCTTTAAAGTAGAGACACTACATACTGATATACACCTGAACATCAGCAGGAGAGGACTCTTTAAAGTAGAGACACTACATACTGATATACACCTGAACATCAGCAGGAGAGGACTCTTTAAAGTAGAGACAACTACATACTGATATACACCTGAACATCAGCAGGAGATGACTCTTTAAAGTAGAGACACTACATACTGATATACACCTGAACATCAGCAGGAGAGGACTCTTTAAAGTAGAGACACTACATACTGATATACACCTGAACATCAGCAGGAGAGGACTCTTTAAAGTAGAGACACTACATACTGATATACACCTGATCATCAGCAGGAGAGGACTCTTTAAAGTAGAGACACTACATACTGATATACACCTGAACATCAGCAGGAGAGGACTCTTTAAAGTAGAGACACTACATACTGATATACACCTGAACATCAGCAGGAGAGGACTCTTTAAAGTAGAGACACTACATACTGATATACACCTGAACATCAGCAGGAGAGGACTCTTTAAAGTAGAGACACTACATACTGATATACACCTGAACATCAGCAGGAGAGGACTCTTTAAAGTAGAGACACTACATACTGATATACACCTGAACATCAGCAGGAGAGGACTCTTTAAAGTAGAGACACTACATACTGATATACACCTGAACATCAGCAGGAGAGGACTCTTTAAAGTAGAGACACTACATACTGATATACACCTGAACATCAGCAGGAGAGGACTCTTTAAAGTAGAGACACTACATACTGATATACACCTGAACATCAGCAGGAGAGGACTCTTTAAAGTAGAGACACTACATACTGATATACACCTGAACATCAGCAGGAGAGGACTCTTTAAAGTAGAGACACTACATACTGATATACACCTGAACATCAGCAGGAGAGGACTCTTTAAAGTAGAGACACTACATACTGATATACACCTGAACATCAGCAGGAGAGGACTCTTTAAAGTAGAGACACTACATACTGATATACACCTGAACATCAGCAGGAGAGGACTCTTTAAAGTAGAGACACTACATACTGATATACACCTGAACATCAGCAGGAGAGGACTCTTTAAAGTAGAGACACTACATACTGATATACACCTGAACATCAGCAGGAGAGGACTCTTTAAAGTAGAGACACTACATACTGATATACACCTGAACATCAGCAGGAGAGGACTCTTTAAAGTAGAGACACTACAGACTGATATACACCTGAACATCAGCAGGAGAGGACTCTTTAAAGTAGAGACACTACATACTGATATACACCTGAACATCAGCAGGAGAGGACTCTTTAAAGTAGAGACACTACATACTGATATACACCTGAACATCAGCAGGAGAGGACTCTTTAAAGTAGAGACACTACATACTGATATACACCTGAACATCAGCAAGAGAGGACTCTTTAAAGTAGAGACACTACATACTGATATACACCTGAACATCAGCAGGAGAGGACTCTTTAAAGTAGAGACACTACATACTGATATACACCTGAACATCAGCAGGAGAGGACTCTTTAAAGTAGAGACACTACATACTGATATACACCTGAACATCAGCAGGAGAGGACTCTTTAAAGTAGAGACACTACATACTGATATACACCTGAACATCAGCAGGAGAGGACTCTTTAAAGTAGAGACACTACATACTGATATACACCTGAACATCAGCAGGAGAGGACTCTTTAAAGTAGAGACACTACATACTGATATACACCTGAACATCAGCAGGAGAGGACTCTTTAAAGTAGAGACACTACATACTGATATACACTGAACATCAGCAGGAGAGGACTCTTTAAAGTAGAGACACTACATACTGATATACACCTGAACATCAGCAGGAGAGGACTCTTTAAAGTAGAGACACTACATACTGATATACACCTGAACATCAGCAGGAGAGGACTCTTTAAAGTAGAGACACTACATACTGATATACACCTGAACATCAGCAGGAGAGGACTCTTTAAAGTAGAGACACTACATACTGATATACACCTGAACATCAGCAGGAGAGGACTCTTTAAAGTAGAGACACTACATACTGATATACACCTGAACATCAGCAGGAGAGGACTCTTTAAAGTAGAGACACTACATACTGATATACACCTGAACATCAGCAGGAGAGGACTCTTTAAAGTAGAGACACTACATACTGATATACACCTGAACATCAGCAGGAGAGGACTCTTTAAAGTAGAGACACTACATACTGATATACACCTGAACATCAGCAGGAGAGGACTCTTTAAAGTAGAGACACTACATACTGATATACACCTGAACATCAGCAGGAGAGGACTCTTTAAGTAGAGACACTACATACTGATATACACCTGAACATCAGCAGGAGAGGACTCTTTAAAGTAGAGACACTACATACTGATATACACCTGAACATCAGCAGGAGAGGACTCTTTAAAGTAGAGACACTACATACTGATATACAGCTGAACATCAGCAGGATGGGACTCTTTAAAGTAGAGACACTACATACTGATATACACCTGAACATCAGCAGGAGAGGACTCTTTAAAGTAGAGACACTACATACTGATATACACCTGAACATCAGCAGGAGTGGACTCTTTAAAGTAGAGACACTACATACTGATATACACTGAACATCAGCAGGAGAGGACTCTTTAAAGTAGAGACACTACATACTGATAGACACCTGAACATCAGCAGGAGAGGACTCTTTAAAGTAGAGACACTACATACTGATATACACCTGAACATCAGCAGGAGAGGACTCTTTAAAGTAGAGACACTACATACTGATATACACCTGAACATCAGCAGGAGAGGACTCTTTAAAGTAGAGACACTACATACTGATATAACACCTGAACATCAGCAGGAGAGGACTCTTTAAAGTAGAGACACTACATACTGATATACACCTGAACATCAGCAGGAGAGGACTCTTTAAAGTAGAGACACTACATACTGATATACACCTGAACATCAGCAGGAGAGGACTCTTTAAAGTAGAGACACTACATACTGATATACACCTGAACATCAGCAGGAGAGGACTCTTTAAAGTAGAGACACTACATACTGATATACACCTGAACATCAGCAGGAGAGGACTCTTTAAAGTAGAGACACTACATACTGATATACACCTGAACATCAGCAGGAGAGGACTCTTTAAAGTAGAGACACTACATACTGATATACACCTGAACATCAGCAGGAGAGGACTCTTTAAAGTAGAGACACTACATACTGATATACACCTGAACATCAGCAGGAGAGGACTCTTTAAAGTAGAGACACTACATACTGATATACACCTGAACATCAGCAGGAGAGGACTCTTTAAAGTAGAGACACTACATACTGATATACACCTGAACATCAGCAGGAGAGGACTCTTTAAAGTAGAGACACTACATACTGATATACACCTGAACATCAGCAGGAGAGGACTCTTTAAAGTAGAGACACTACATACTGATATACAGCTGAACATCAGCAGAGGACTCTTTAAAGTAGAGACACTACATACTGATATACACCTGAACATCAGTAGGAGAGGACTCTTTAAAGTAGAGACACTACATACTGATATACACCTGAACATCAGCAGGAGTGGACTCTTTAAAGTAGAGACACTACATACTGATATACACTTGAACATCAGCAGGAGAGGACTCTTTAAAGTAGAGACACTACATACTGATAGACACCTGAACATCAGCAGGAGAGGACTCTTTAAAGTAGAGACACTACATACTGATATACACCTGAACATCAGCAGGAGAGGACTCTTTAAAGTAGAGACACTACATACTGATATACACCTGAACATCAGCAGGAGAGGACTCTTTAAAGTAGAGACACTACATACTGATATACACCTGAACATCAGCAGGAGAGGACTCTTTAAAGTAGAGACACTACATACTGATATACACCTGAACATCAGCAGGAGAGGACTCTTTAAAGTAGAGACACTACATACTGATATACACCTGAACATCAGCAAGAGAGGACTCTTTAAAGTAGAGACACTACATACTGATATACACCTGAACATCAGCAGGAGAGGACTCTTTAAAGTAGAGACACTACATACTGATATACACCTGAACATCAGCAGGAGAGGACTCTTTAAAGTAGAGACACTACATACTGATATACACCTGAACATGAGCCTTAATGGGCCCCTTTAACACGTTGGGTTGATGTCCTGTTTTTATCCTTTTCTTTGTTTCACTGGAACTTTTTTTTCATTTAATCGTTTATTTGAAGAGGGACAGTGCACATTGATGAACATTTAAAACAAATAATGCTTTAAAAACGTAAACATGCCGGATTTGAGCTTTGAGCTAGTTTCCATCCGTAGTCCCTCAAACTACTTGTTATTGAACTCAGATCCAAAGGAAAAACATTATTTATTTTTGTATTGGCTGACAATAGACTGTCATGGTGATGTATACTAATCCTATTTCACTCAATCCTGCTGTTAAAACAATTCTAATTAATAAAAAATGTCTCCAACACAGCAAGCCCAAACCTTATATTGCCTGGTAATTTATTTTCTATTTAGTTTGGCTCATTATTCCTACGACCTTGTTTTTATCTGATGTATCCATAATTAAGACCCACAGAAAGACTTGAACAGCCAAGACTGAGTAGAAGTTAGCCGTATTAGCATTGTTGTACTATACATGTTATTAAACTTGCAATATCTTGCAGTCAAGGACCAATTTAGCATCTAAAATAAACTGGGTGAACCGTGGGGCTGACACAGAGACACAGAATACACTGCGGGTCCGCATGACGTGCTCTTCTCAGGCAAAACAAACATTAGTTAAGCCTTCTTATGACACAGGAAGTTCTCAGACAGTGCAGAGAGGGTCATTGTCAACAACTGTCAAAGGGGATTTATAACCAAAGAGCACACTGGATGTGTTTTCCTGGAAGAGGGAGAGACAGCAGCCAAAGCTCTGCAGTGTTTTTCCTGAAATCTGACTGAACCTGACTAAAGGTCCCACAGGCAGACTGCATGATGGGAATGGGGAGTGAGAGGGAAACAACTGTGGGGCCCGTTAGTGAGTCACTGACATGGGTGTCGCTGTGTTCACAGCTACCATGCATTTAAATATTTTACAAATCTATGCTTGTACAATTTATTTAATTCATGTATTTAATAATATTAATATCATTTTGAGTGCCCACTGGACTTAGTCATCATTTGTAATCATTTGCCGATAGCTGAAAGTGTATACAGTATGGGGTCTGGAGAGTGCAACTAAATTATTTTATAGATTTAATGTTACATTTAAAATAACTGATAGAAATATTGTTTTAATTTGAACAAAGAATATAAATCGAAGCTAATTCATAATATTTATTTTAGTTATAAATATCTGTTGGTTGTGGCCAATTACAAAACAATTACCGCTAATATTACAAATGCAAAAATATGAAGACAACGGTTAATAAACATTTTAACATAAGTTTCTTTTCTAAAACAAAAATCATTTTTCAAAATGTTTTTTATTAGTTATTAATTTTACTTGCACCGCCTCACTATTTGTTTTTTACAATATATATGTTTTTCTTGAAATCAATGATCTGAAAACAAAATAGAAAGCAAGTTTTAAAAGTGCTTTACATTACTTCTGTAATGTGCCTGCAGTATAGTATCCGGAATTTGTATTATTGAATTATTAAAATATATATACATTATTCCAGTGGCATGCTTTACGCTCCACAGGGTCAAGTTCAAGAAGAAAAATCACATTCAAAGTTTCATAAAAGACTATTTCATATTCAAATGAAATCAATGACACAAATACACTGATACTGTGATTAGAGAATAAAAAAAGGGAAAACTGTTTCCTTTTTTGATTTATTGTATCATTTATTGCCCTAAAGGCTAATCTAGCTGTGACTGATAAAATTGAATAAAAAGAAGCCTGTTAAAAGCATTCAAAATATGATGGTCTGACATGTCTAGAAATATACTAAACATGCTTAAATAAAGTTACACTTAATGTATACTGTATGTATTGGTTTACCTGTCCGTCAGCGTAGCCAATAGGTGAGTTGAGAATGAAATCAGTGGGGGCGAAAACATCCACCAACGATACTGCATCATCCTTCAGCTGCAGGGGACACACAAAGCAGATTAGTCATCATTTAGAATTTACAATAACACTTTAAAATGGTATAAACAGAGAGATTTAACCATGCAGAGGATGTAGTGTTGGTGTACCTGGGAGCAGAGAGTGAGAATGGCCGTTTGGACCAACTCTGCGGGCTTCCTTCCACTCAGATAGTTACCTGTACAGAAACAAAACTATGTTACAGAAACCACAAATATACTATATGCTTTCTACATTGATGTTTGCAGTTTAAAGAGTGCAGTCACACCCTGGTAAAGTATGGCCATGTGGGTGCTGAGACTCCACAGCCCGTACAGAGCACATAGTTTGCTGAGAACAGGTCTGAGATCAGCCGGTGTGTCCTCATCAACGGTCAGGTCATGGAACCTCTGCAGGCAGTTGTGTTCTATGTAGGCCATCGCCAGGGTACGAGAGGAGTACACCTAAACACACACAAGGTGGAACATTAAAACAGTACATTTTAAATACAAAAACAGCAACTACAATGCATGATTGTATAATGTTTATAGCCTCCTATACTTATATTGTATGAGCAGTATGTTGGAATATCTATTATATTTTATTTTGTGCATTTTATATTTTATATTATCATTCTAGTGTGGATATGTATTTACTTGTATTGTTTATTTTATTTATTGTGTCTACTTTACAAATTGGGATTGATAAATTAGTATTGTACTTTTTATTTTTGCTGTACACTCAAGCAAGAAAGATATTAAGCTTAACATTGCCTTCTGCAGGAAATAGGATGAATGCTAAGCTAGCCTTATTAGCACACCAGAGACTCCAGATTTAATTTCGCAAAAGTAAAAATTACTAAAAATCTAGACTTCAAATATAATATTGTGGTATGTTTGGATGTTCATAACATTTTCCTAAACGGGGATTGCAATAGAAGAATTAGGCAGGATTCACAAAAAATGGGATTGTTAAAAAATGTAAATCATTCAATGTAATGCAAATAAATGCACAATTTTCCTGGAGCATGAATAGTGTAAATACAGTAAAAAATAATGTTGTGGTAGGAAATCATTTTTCCGCAGGTTTGGATGAAAATGATTATTAAAGCTTCCGATATCCCAACTATATATTCAGCTTTGCAAACGAGCAAGCTACTAGCTAGCCTGCTCGTTAGCAATGAATGTGAATGACATGATATGAACAAGAAATAAACTATGTTAACAAATCCGTTTAAAATCATTTAAAAATTGGGTTTAATTTGTTTAGTACAAATGTAATCCAACTGAACCTTCTTGGACTAAAAACAATACATGTGCGTTTGTCATATTAATGGCCAAAACAACTCAATTAAAATGAGTAAATCCAGTGATACACACATTTCCCAGAACTACAACACCCATCTGACACTGTAACCTCCAGCATGCATCTGTGGTACAATAACTCAAACCAGATGATGGCAGCCCGGCTCTGTAAAGACGGTCCAAAACTCCACTTAGCTAAACTCCATTTATTGCCGTTTCTAATGAACCTGGAGACACAACACAACGCAGAGCGTCTTCTTCTCTGGAATGAGTTTCTGATAAGACACCACTAATCCTGCTTTGGTTTGGCAAGGGTTTACTTAAGAAGTGGGAGTTATTGGCTCAGAATGTGTAATAATATACCAACATCTCATTAGCTCCAGACAAATATCTTAAGAATCGGCTGTATTTCAGTGCTGGAAGTAGTGTTCAGATCTGCTTTGAGAAGGATTCTTAAAGGTAGGGTAGGTAAGTTTGAGAAACCGGCTCGAGATTGCTAGAATTTGAAAATACACAACCGGAGAAAATCTGCCATTTCCTTAGAGAGCCCCTCCTCCAACACACACGAACGCGCACATGACCAATGAGGGCACGAGATAAGTTTGTGCACAGATGGAAGGCTGACAGGCAGGTAGGCCATCCAGTTATTTTAGCCGGGCCGGCTAAAATGATTGGTCGTGCTTTTTACAGTACTACAGCTTCCACAGATGACATTTTTTTATGGATTTTTTGTCAAAGCACTTCAGATATTCATTGCTATCGGGATGTTAAGAGCATTCCATGGAATATAACAAAAAGTGTATCTCGAGCCGGTTTCTCAAACTTACCTACCCCACCTTTAAGTCAAAGTCTTTAACTATGAACAGGAAAGTGTACTTAGAGTATTACGAGTAACTGTACTCATTGGAAAAAACTTGAAATAAATTAAAAATATTTAAAAGTAAAAGCAGCTAATTTGAGATACTGTGAAATGTTTTTACACACAAAAATGTACTGAAATGATTATCTAAACTGCAGACAAATCTATACAGAAACGTAGTTTAAGTTGTAAAATAAATGTAGTAAAGTAAAAGGTACAATATTTCCCTCTGAATTTCAGCAAAGTAAAAATCTAAATTGCCAAAAAAAGTAGTACAAGAAAATGTGTATGTATGTTGTACTTGAGAAAATGTACTTAGTTACTTTCCACAACTGCTGTTTTTAGCTTGAGTTGTGGGAATAGCTGTGAGTGAGCATAAAGGGTCCTCACAGTGGTGTGTGTGTGTGTGTGTGTGTGTGTGTGTGTGCGTGCGTGTGCGTGTGCGTGTGTGTGTGTGTGTGTGTGTGTGTGTGTGTGTGTGTGTGTGTGTGTGTGTGTGTGCGTGTGTGTGTGTGTGTGTGTGTGTGTTACCTGGCTGTTGTTACGGGCCTCGAAATCATCTTTTCCCATGGCCCTCTGCTGCTCCAGCTTCTTCTGGCTCTCCTCCAACAGGAAACACACCAGCCACTTATAGGCAGCCAATGGCACTGATATTATGAACAAGATAAGAAATCACATTCAGTAAATGAGTAATGCTGATATTAAGAGGCTAAACCTATACTGAGATTTTCTTAAAATAAGATTTTCCAGTGAAGGGAATGATCCCTTCTGAGTACCTGCAGAGTCCATGCACTCCTCCATGGTCCTTGCTGTGAACTTGGTTAGCAGGATGTTTTGGAGATCATCCAGGAAATCCACAGTGTGAAGAGGAGACTCAATACGCACACCATCTGAAAACACACAACAGCGGAAACGTTAGAGATCAATCCTGTGCTCACAATTTATGTTATCATAGTCTGAGTTTGCTAAAGATTTTTTGTATCTCTTATGAATCCATATATTCACGTAGAAATTCAGATTTCAAAAAACACGAAAAAACTGTAATATGTGCACATTTAGGGAAAACTTTGTCAAGAGGGAGAATAAAGCTGTATGTTGAATTAGACTGCTTAATGCATGTCAGGATATGTCGAACACAACAAAACAATTATAAAAATAATAATCTTTACTTTCCTTACAACCCGTAATATGAATTCACAGTGGAATGCCGTACAAAAATAGAAAGCAGACATCTTTCTGATAAAAATGTTCAAAATATATAGCAGTCTAAAGGGCTGAAGAGGCACAAATATATAAAATGTTTTGAAATAAAATGAGTGAATTCCTGCATCAAAACGTCACAATAACTGATGTAAAAGATCATCCGTGATTTGACAAGCCGATAACATGGATTTTGTTGTGAAATCTCGCACTTTACAAACCTTGTGACTGGTCATCAGAGATGGGGTCGTTACTAAAAAAAAGTAATATATTACATATTACATATTACTTTAAAAAAAAAGTAATATATTACACTACTTCGTTACTCTCTACATAAAGTAACTCGTTACTTTACTCGCAGGGCCGGCCCGCCCCTCCCTGCAGGCAGATCACGCAGACTGCTAAAGTTTCAAATGTTCTCTTTAGTTCAGTTTCCATTGTCACATAAGACTGATCCAGATAGCTCTGACCATGGCTGTCCTCTGTCTCCTGCTATCTGTATTTTGCGCAGTATATCTCTGAACGATGCGATGGTGATTCCACTGTGCAAATTCCACTGTCCATCTCTGCTTTGGTTACCGGTCCTCCAAATTCTTGCGGCGGCGCACTCACAACATCCTCACTCTGGGTTCGGGGGTCCTTAGCTATTAGCTTCACCTTAGCATGTGTTCTTTGCAGGTGTTTGTTGAGGTTTGACGTGGTGTTTACAGCAGTGGATAACAGCTTCTGGCCTTTACACAGTTTGCACCTCACCGTCACATTCCTGTCTATTCTTCGGACGAACTCAAAATAATGGGCATACCTCCACCCCTCGAAAGTTATCGCTGACTCTGCCATGTTTATGCAGCACTGCACGCGGAGATGTGGACGTGCAAATCGCGCAGATTACGTACATATAAACCTGCGGCGGAAACCCCTCTTGTCTGTCAGTGTGATTATGACTGATTTTATAAAAGTAACGAAGTAACGCGTGTCGGGGCAATGTTAGTAACTGTAGTGTGATTACTGAATTATAAAAGTAACGCGTTACACTACTCCGTTACCGACAAAAGTAATATTATTACAGTAACGCGTTACTTTGTAACGCGTTACACCCAACTCTGGTGGTCATTAATTGTCGTAAATAGCACATAGCAGTGGCACGCCACCAGCTCCAATAACTGACATGATATCTCGTATTATCCCTCAGTGTACACTGTACTGACCACGCTGTTTGGCATAGAGCCAGCTGAGCAGGTAGTTGCTGGTCTGTTGCAGCAACACGTTGTTGTCTCCTTCGTACGTGCAGTTTGGGTCGTTGTCATTACGCAGATCACCGAGCCGGTTCACTGGAAGAGAGGGAAGGTAGTTAGTTCTCTGAAAGTGTGTGTGTGTGTGTGTGTGTGTGTGTGTGTGTGTGTGAGAATCTGTGTGTGTGAGACTGACTGGCCAGGTATCCATGTCCCCCGCAGGCCTCCCTGCACTCCTGGATCCCCCTGGCAGCGGTCCAGGAGCCCAGGGGTTTACTGGAGCAGCCAATGGCGTGGATCTCCCTGCCCATCTCTGCCTGCAAGAATCACAGCGGGGAAATGTACAGTGTTAGAGCAAAAGTGGCATAGCAGGTAAAAAAAGGCATGCATTAATGAAGAGTAAGCCATTTCAATAAATATAGAGAAGAAAAACACACATTCGTAATAGAATAAAGTAATAAGACAAATAAGTACACAGAAAAAAAGCAGTAGAATTAATTTAAAGAGACATAAGTGGCATACTGTCTGACGGTGTTGAGACATGTATAAAACATTTTGGGACATTTATAAAATAATAAAATAAAATTCACATAAAAGTGATAATTGCACAGTACAGTTGCAAAAAGAAGTGTATGTATATATATCTTTTTTATTGTTATTTTTTTTCCCTGCAACTTACTTGCACTATTACATATATTTCATTTGAAGTAAATGCTGTGTCTCAATTTGCGTACGTTTTGAATGTGTCCCAGTGCTAAGGATGGCAACATGTAGTGCACTGAGTACCCAAATGGTGCTTTCATAATAGCTAAAAAGTTGAGTGTGGAAAACAAATAAAAGTTATAAATATGTTTCAGTATTTAATACGCATACCAGTAAACTGGTGACGAAAATAAGCCATTGTTTATTTTCTGGGGTTAATTGAGCAATCTGTAATGATTTGCTACCCGTTGAGCACTGACGTTCCTAGCTAGAGTTGATCGTCACATTCACTGAGTGCTGTTTACATTTTAATACAACACTAGAAGGGCCAAATGTACACACTGCAGAAGTGTTCAGTGTACGACATGCAGTGTACTAAGGGAAGTGTCTGAATGAGACACAGCAGTATTGTATGTAGCATTGTTGGAAGATGTGGTCCTTAAGATAAGATTTCTATTTCCCAAACTACACTTCTGATATTGTGAATTTTCCAATAAAGCCTTTGAATCTTTAATAATTCTAGATTTGGATATACACCCATGCAGCCCATCTATACTCACTTGTCTGTCATCCTTCAGCCTCATTGCCTGTCCAATCCTGAACTCAACAAAGTTCATGAAGGTGGATTTGGTGAAGTGTTCAAGAGCATACGCTGCTGCCAGGAAGGGGATCAGACGCCATTGCTGAAACAACATACAAATATAAGAAATGTGTGAATACATTTCACACCCAAAAACACCAAGTTTTGTGACTTTTTAAAACTAATTTAATGTTCACAAGGTACTTTGAAGATTACATGTCCACTCCCTCCTTCCTGACCTGTAACTGGTACTCCAGAACAGGGATCTCCTCGGTGTCTTTGGGTCCAAACTGCCTGCGGGTGGCTGAGAAGCGGATGGCGATAGTCAGGGCTAGCTTCAGGTTGACCAGAGCCATCCTGGTGATGGTCACCCTGCCCCCTGACAGGGCCCCCAGAGACTCCCCAAAACGCTTGTTGGGGTCCTGAAGGTGACAAAAGACACAAAGGACAGACATGGGAACGGAATTAAAGATAGAAAAGTAACTATTTACATATATTACACACACTCCAAGGCAAATGATTCACAATGGAAGTAATACGTTTATTTTTAACTATTGCAAAATCATCAGAACCAGGAGTGGAGCACTTCATGTAAAATGAAATACCTGCAGGAACAATTGGTAATAACAGAAGTCTTATTCAGTAAGATGAATGTAGTCCTCAAACCCGGATATTAGTTAGCACTTTAGCTTGTTTAGCTCGTCTTGCAGTCAAAGGTTTATTATCAAAGGTTATTCAGCTTGATGAAATGTACACCAAATATTCAGAGTATAATAAGAAGCTACAAAACACAAGAAATACGTTCCAAGTTATTAAAAGTAACTCCAACGTGTTGGAGTGGTGCAGGAATGAGGCCTACAACATGGAATTTACAGTAGTTAGCATTTTAGCTTGTTTTGCTGAACTCTCATTCAAAGGTTTTCTGAATGTGTTTTTTAGTTAGATGCCTGAATAAGGTCAGTGCTACACACAAGCTTAAGATCGTTTTTGAGCTTTGTTCTATGACATAAAATACATCAGTAAATACCCCACTAGTGAATGTGGAAAGCTTTTTGTCTTAGAAAACGCTGTTTGCTAGCAGGCTGCTAAATGAGACTACTGAACTGCCTCACGCAAAATATTAGCCGCCCTTAGCTTAGTGAGGGGACATGAAGCCATGCAACTGTGATGTTCATAGCTAAACATGTTAAAATGGCGGCTTCTACAGAGGTTAGCTTAGATGCTACAATAGCATCAGTGATATTGGAAATGGAGAATATGTTTTAATTGAAGAAGAGTAAAGAACAACACTGAAGCCTTTTTTTCAAGTCAAATTATGTTATTGCTCATCTACTGACTGGCTTCAGCAAGAGTGTGATTGACAGATGGTTCATCCAATGACCTGCCAAGTGTTGTTTTCATGTTTCTTTATTGGCCGTTTCTAAGATGGTACAGTGGAACAAACAGGTTTTCGCCTAATGAATAAATAATTGAAAAAAGGATTATAAATGTGCATCATAGGTTACCATGGTGATCTAACCTGGTTAAAATTGAGCCCAAAGATAGCTAGCTGACCCTCCAATGGAGCTTCATAGAAAGGCCAACGGACTGTCCTGACTATTTACACCTCTCATGGGTCACCAGAAGAATGTTCCATGTCTGGTTGTCATTACCAGCCATCTTTTCAACACGTTCATATAGATTTGGCCCCTGAGAGCTCATTAAATCACTGCAGCAGTGAAAAGCCGCCATAATGTGAAGAAAGCGTTTGACTGCTTAACAGTCAGAGGTTGCCTACTGCATTTGTTTATCTACATCTGTGCCTGCATGCATAATAAATAAGGAGATTTTGAAAGGGGTGTAATTGAAGCAGCAGGTCCTATGGGATTGCTGAAGGAATAAACATTGAGAATATACAAGGGTGTTAGATTTTTTTACACTGCTTTGAAAAGGTTGAGTTCACCCAAATGACATTAGTTTTAAGAGATGGTTTTATGAGTGCAGGTTTCCATCTCGGATATTGACACAAAGCAAAGTTGAAATAAAGTCTAAAAACCCTGAAAATAGTTTGTAAAGGCTGAACTGCGTTAGTGTTTGGGGTTAAACATAGATCAATGCCTCATTTAGATCAAAGGCATTATTCACCTTGGGCGCATGAATGTGCTCAGAAGGCTTTATAGTAATCTGTTGTAAGATGATGACATTATTTCATGAGAGGGGGACATTTTTGAATGATTGTGGTGCTCAGAAAGCTCATTGACTTTCTAAAATGCATCTTAATGGTTTCTAATGTTGTGGCCAAATTAAACACATTCTTCAAGATGAAATGCATTTATTTGTTTAGCTTTTTGGAATATGTATCATCTCTGGTTGACTTTGTCCACTGATGTTCCTGTTGACTCTTACAATGAACAAGTTGATGATATATGTAATTGTGTTATGTTTTTCTGAAATTCAGGGTCTATCCTCAGGGAAGCACATGATGTTGACAATTGAAAGAAAATTGCTTTGTAAGGCTGTAATGAAGCACAGCAGTGGTGTTAACTAAATGATAATGTCAACATGAACACATGCTCACAAGGACAATGGGAAAAACCATTAGTTTATCGTTTTACTACTGGTGCTGTCCTTCGCTAGGGTTCGATGCTAATGATCATTAGCAGAAAGCAAAAACCTCAGCAAGCTACAAAATCATTTTTATTGAACAAGTAGCTTTAGTTAACTTGAATTGGTGCTTGCAATGCTTCCAGAGAAATCTTACTAACCTTGAATGGCGTAACGTAGCGGCCCTCAGGAGTCACATCTCCAGTCTTATTCAGTAGACTCTCCCGAGGGATCCTCACATTATGAAACATAGCAAACCTGAAGGGAAAAACACAGAAAAGTAGGACATAAGTGGAGTTTATATTGATGTGGCGTTTCATAATAGTACTTTGCTACTCTTAATACCCGCCAAAGAACGCCAAACTTGTGACTTTAGGGACAGAATATGTGTGTTAGCTAAAACATAACACAAAAACACATATCATCAACTTCATAATATTGTAAGAGTCAATAGGAATATCCATGGACAAAGTCACACCAGAGATGTATACATATTCCAAAAAGCTAAAAAAATGAAACATTAAACATTATGGTGAATTTTCACATTACAACACATAATAATTACAAATAAATCAGGTAACTGTACTGACCCAACCATTATCATTTGACCAGCATTTAACTAAAGTAATTGCACTATTTTTCTTCTTTTTTTAATATTGCTGTATTATTATTAATATGTTTATAATTATTAATAGGTGCTTTGTAGAAAAGATATCAATTTACTTTTAGAAGCAAATATATTAACAATCATAAAATCAAAGATCTATCAACTGCTTCCTTGCTAGATAAATCCCAAATAGATTACACTGAATTTTGTATTTTATGGGCAGAAATAAGTACGATATACTTCCATATAAGAAACTTGAACCAAACAATATTTTAATTGGATTATTAACTCACACACGCTGTATATGATAGCCTATTTGGTATATTGGACTCCTTTGTGAAAATCTGTGTAGTGTTTTAGCATAAAATCTTTCCTCTTTTTGTGACATCCTTGTCATGTAAACTGTGACTATAGCTCCATCTAGTTACCTTACCGAGGCACTGCAGAACACGTTGCTGCTTTAAATGAACAGTGGATGCGTCTGAAGTGTGTAAGGTAGGGATACATGATTTTTATTTTTTTTTTTATTTTATTTTTTTAAACCTTTATTTAACCAGATAAAAACATTGAGATAAAATCTCATTTTCAATGCTGACCTGGCCAAGAAGGCAGCAACGTTACACATAACACATAACACAAACATATAAAATACAGAGAACATAACTAAGAAAACAAAAGACGAAAAAGCAGTCACTACATTGTGCACATTAGGACAATAAAAAGTACACTACTTATTACTGCAAGAGCAGCTGGTGGTGAGGACTTCAGACAACTTCAATTTAAAACATGATATAGAGACAAGTGCCCTCAGTTTAAGGCGTGATTGAAGGTCATTCCAAGACCAAGGACCATAATAAGAAAGACTCCTTTTTCCAGCCTCAGTCCGCACAGTAGGAACCTGGACCCGTATCCAGGCACTGGATCTGAGTTTGTAAGAGTCACAAACTGGGGCAAATCTGACACATATGTAGAGTGGAAGCTTACCTAAAATGGCTTTATACATGATACATGATGAAGATTATCACTTGGGTTCATTTACAGGTTTGAACTATTTACGCACGATCGCGGCTGTTAACAGAGCCAAGTAGGGCAAAATACTAATGACTAATCTGCATTAATAAATGAACTGAATAAGGTGTCGGCAAATGAAGTGGAAAAACAAGTTCTCAGTCAAATTGAGCTGGAAACTGGGAAAACAGATAAAGAAAAATAAGAGTGGAATTGAATAGACCCTGCAACATTGATCAACGTTGTACATGTTACAGGATTACATCATCAGGATACATTAAAAAAGATATATAATTGGGATTAATAGCAGGATTACAATGTGACAAATTACATTTCTAAACAAAAATATCAATATATCATAGGCAGACGTGCTGCCTGAATTTCCTTTTTTGTATTCATTTAGGTTACTTTTATTTCTCCTTATTTTAAATGCCTTTTTTTTTTAGATGCTGTAGGCCTGATTTATCAAACAAACTGTGTATGTTTTTATTTTAATCTCTCTTTGATCCTAAATATCTTGGTTCCCTCTTTTCCAAGGTTACGTTGTTTTGTTAAAAAACACTTTAGTAAAACCATGTTATTGATATTTCTTTCCTCTTGGATTTATTCACATTGCATTTGATACTGAGGTAATTTCAAAGCAACCGAAACGTTCAGGTGCATTGATTTTATGTTGTGAGACTAATTACTGATGATGTTTATTTGAGGTTATTGTATTGGAATACATTTTTGAAAGGAACCCTTCCAAACCCTTTTAATCATAAAGAAACAAAGAAGCAGGATATAAAAGGTACTGACCTTGTGGTAAACCTGCGAGAGAGAAAGCGTTTGAGCTACATACTGTTTCAGAAATAATGCTGGATGTGGTTTGGAAGCGGTTAGATGAGTATCTGGGTAGAATTCTCCTGCATGAGCTTTTTTTAAAGCTACAGACTCAGAATCAGCACTTCTCTAACAGGGCTGAAATAGAGGGGTATGAGGCATGGCTACAATGAGTGATCTGTTTGGTATTTTGAGCAAAACACTTCATAGACATGTTTTTTATATATCTGAGACCTATAATATATGCCTAACAATAGTATAATAGGAGACCTTTAAGGTTACATTGTAATTTTATTTTAACATTGTACATTCACCCCTGTCTATAGAAAACAGTAGGCGTGTGCATTGGATTGTAAAGTTTTGTATATTTACAGGGGCTGTTGCAAAAACCAAGTAATTCAGAAACATTCTAAAATGAGGGGGCTTCCAAAAAAAGAAACACCTCACAGATTTGTTGACCTTTATTCGAATTATTATTTATTCCTGGTTCTGCCGCTGTATTTATTGACGCAGTTCACTCTGTCCTCTGACCTTTGTCCAAAGTGAGTTCATCCCTGTGTGCTAGGGGTGATTGGCCTGCTTTGTCCTTCTGTACACTTATCTTTGGCATTTCTCTATCTTTGTTTATGAGACACTTTTGAACTTAACCTTTATATGGCTGCTGTCACCTACCCGTTGTCTAGTCCGTTCTGGCCCAGCTTCTTGCCCATATCTCCAACCATCACGCCGGGCAGAGCGAGCAAGGTCTTGGTATCTCTCACCTGCACAACAATGGTTATAGTCACACTGCAGTGTTAGTACAGTGTGTGACAGTGTGATAATTGATACATCAGAATGTAAATAAATTGTACATTTTCCTCTCTGTGGGACGAACATATTCAAACCCATTTCTCCCACAATGTCGCATGACTGCTTTCACCTCTAACATGTCACTTGAAGGTCCCATGACATGGCCATTTCTACTGATCATAATTCCATTGTTGAGGTCTACTAGAATAGATGTACATTGTTCAATGTTCCAAACTCACATTGGTTTCTCATACAGCATCTCTGTATAGTATGTGTATTCACTCTCTGTCCTAAACGGCTTGTTGGAGCTCCTGCCCCCCCCCCCCTCCCTGTGAGCCCACTGTGCTCTGATTGGTCAGCTCGCCCACTCTGTTCTGATGAGTCCACCACCGTTACAGCAGAACATCAGTGTTTATGTTTTACAATGGCGTTTGTTAGCAACCAGAAAATGACACCAGTAAGGACAAACAGATGAGAATGCTGCGTGGGGTCTGGGTGCCGTGTTGGCGGGACGTTGCGGGGCTCGCTGCTCCGCCCTTTGAGGCTCGAGGAGCGGACAGTGTGAGCTGGGTTACTGGTGTCGTTTCCTGGTTGCTGCGTGGGGTCTGCGAGACAGCGAGACATTGCGGAACTCAGTCTGTGCACACACATACACTCACAACCAGGCTGCTCGCCACACAGTTCGCCACACACTCACAGCCTGAGAAAAGATAAGGCTGAGTGAGAGTGTGTGTGTGTGTGTGTGTGTGTGTGTGTGTGTGTGTGTGTGTGTGTGTGTGTGTGTGTGTGTGTGTGTGTGTGTGTGTGTGTGTGTGTGTGTGTGTGTGTGTGTGTGTGTGTGTGTGTGTGTGAGGACTGAGGAGCTCCACGGATTGGTCCATTTGGTTGTCGTCACGTCACTTAGACCAGGAAGAAAACAATGGAAAAAGAGAAATCTCCAACGAGGCGTTCTGGGGCAGCATAGACAGGTCTTTTCTGTGTTAGAGTTTTGCAGACCGTTTACATTTTTGCGCATTTGCCCCTGTTGGCCACCGTAGAAAGACAATACAGCAAAGACTAAAGGTGAAAACAAGCAAACAACTAAATTAAATTTACCAATTAATAAAAGCATGCAAATCCTAAAAATATACATGTCACACTTCCAAACCTCAAGTAATTTCCCTGCTTGCAATCAAACTACTTCCTAATTGTTAGTGCTGAAATGCCAACAAAAACCAAGTTCATATACAGTATAAAGTATGGTTTAATGCTAAAAACTGATAAAAAGCAAGCACATACTAACCCAAATTACTTATTTTGAGGAAAGATCTTTTAAATATTTGGCTTGTTTTTACATCACTGTTTATATTAGCACTTAATTCAATGGGATTAAATAACTGGCAACCTTCAAGTCACAACCTTCTTTACCCATTAAAGGTCACCTATTGTGCAAAATCAATTTTTCCATGTATTTTATACATAAATGTGTTCAGAACGTTTCAGGAAAAAAGATTCTCTCACTTTTTGTCCTGATCCATTTATATAAAAACCTGTCTGAAAATGAGCTGATCCGATTTTGGCGACTTTGTGATGTCATAACAGTTGTTTGGGTTGTGCAACGAATAGCCAATCACCAACCAAGGTAACCCCCCCCCCCACCATATCACCTGAATCTCCTCCTAGAGCACCATTATGTGTCAAGACAAACACTTTGCAGAGGGGCGTGGCCAGCAGCAGCTCATTAGCATTGAAAGCTACAGACCCAGAATCAGCACTTTTTAAACAGGGCTGAAACAGAGGGGATTATGGGATGCTACAATTCATGATCTGTTTGGTATTTCAGCCAGCAACACATCAGAGACATGTTCTGTTCATATCTGAGACCTCTAATATATTGTTGAAAAATAGTATAATAGGGGACCTTTAAATTCCATTACCCTTTAATACAGTAAAGCATCCAGCTCAGGACATAACAATGGTGGAGATGATGGATGGATAATGTGTAAAGGAAATCCTGAAATCCTAAATTAGAATAGGTTATGTTGGTCATATCAACCATTTTTTTTTATTACAGCTGCGTTACAGATAACAGTATCTGCAGCTGTAACCAGTTCAGGGTTTAAAGGTCGGAGTATTACCTGCACAACGAAGGAGTGCAGCCCTTGGCACACCTGGTCCGGCGTGAACAGCTGGGCGTACACCACAGCGTGCGTTGCCGTCTTGCCAAGATTCCCCACCCAGAACTTGGCAGCTTCAAAGTCTGGAGAGTTGATCACAAACTCCTACAGGGAAGAAAGATAAAGAAGGTTCGAGTGTAACTAGGATTGCAGCCAGAGAGTCAGAAATGCTAAAAAAATAGGTATAGGGCAGGGGTCGGCAACCTTTTTGATATGAAGTGCCATTCTAAAAAAAAAAGTGTATCAGCGTGCCGACGATCGTGAATTATCAACGGGGGGGGGGTTGAAGAGCTCGACGAAAACACTCGTGAAAAGTGATGTTTAAAACTCAGTTAATGGGGCTCATTCAGTGGCGCTTCCACAAACAACAACCAACATAATTGTTACATTCAAATGAAGGAGCCTACATTATTCAAGTTTACATTAACTTTGGATAATAACACGGGAGAAATGAGCGGAAGCGCTCTCTTTTCCTCTCTCCCCCTCTCTCTCTCTCCTGACAGCCTGTCAGTATCTCATGCAGCTCACTGATCCAGTAATGAGTGACAGTGAAGAATAAATATATTTATAACTAGTTCCAAAGGTAGATCAAATAGCTAAGTGTGTTAGGTCTAACTCTTGTGTGTGTTGCTCCGCTCACCGGTCCGTCACAGCGGGTGGAGCTGCAGGAGTTCTGCTTCACACACACGTTGCACCGCTATTTTATTGTCATTTTCGGACACCTTAAAATACTGCCAGACTGGTGAAGCGATTTTGGCGAGCTTGTTTTGCCGCACACAGAGAAAAGTGTCATGTATGTTACGCCTCGCGATCGGCCTTTTTAGAGAGCACCGATCGATCGGCAGAGAGTGAGTATCGGCCGATATCGATCGCCACGCAAAAACTGCGGCATTTGTACAGCTCCTTATGGGTAATGCAATTTGTGAAGTGCTTTCCTCCGTGGTGAAACTATCAGCACTGCACCACGGAGGAAAGCGGCAGAAAGTCGCCTGGAGTTAAAGAGAGTGGGGCTGCGTTGCGTGCATGGCTTCTTTCTGCAGGTAACGGGGAGACGCGCTCTGGCGGCGGTCTCGTTCAGGATCCGAAAATAAAATAAATATTTTGTACACTTATTCCACTTATTCCTAGTGTGCCACTGGTTACGGTGCCAGGGGTTGCCGACCCCTGGTATAGGGAGTCCAAACAAGTTAACAAGAAGGATTAACAAAAGCGTTACATTAAATTAAATATTAATGACAAAAAGAAAAATGTTGAAAGTTGAATGCTGTGTGTTGTTTTTGGAAATGTTTTCAACATAAAACCTTTTGTGGTTTGCTAATTTCTCACAATACATCCCACATACAGGTAAACCAGCATTGTTGGCAGTACAAGCAAAGTAATCTATACACACAAAATTAAACTCTGTTTTTCCTACGTGACTATTAATCCAGGGTTAGTTCCAAGCACGAGGGTTTGAAAGTCAGGATTAGCCCCACCCCCCAGGTAAAGTCGCCAGGACATAAAGGATGTGACGCGTATTTAAGTATAAAATATTGAGATTTTATTTCAGTGTCACAGGATCACCTCAAACTCCGTGTCACATTGTCCACCGTGCAAAATAAACAATAATAGCCTTTATTTGATTTGTTTTTTTAGCCAGATTTGTCTTGTTTGTTTTTGTTTTTCTGTCAGTGTGATAACAGATACACTACTTAATACATGTGTATACCAGCGTGCAGCATTCACCAAGGAAAAGGTTGGCTGAGGTGAGGTCAATAGGTTTCATTGTTTAGCAGTGACTATGCTGATTTATGTCAAACAGTTGCAACCCACAAAATAAAATGAAAAAGGAAGAAGGGAAAGCACCCTTTTATTAAACAACTTGACTTTTGTTTAAGCATTCTGGCTTTTATCCTGTCATATTGCCATGTAAACACACTTTTTTTTTCTTTGTGTGTGGAGCGTTCACTGACCTGAGTGGAGGGGTCATAGGTCGCTGTGGTCCTCATGGCTCTGGTGTTGCTGCCATGGCTCAGCTCCGTCAGTGCAAAGCATCCAAATGTCTAAAAAAAAACAACAGATAGAAGACGTTACAAATCCTGCGTTCATGGTGATGAAGATGAATAAATACAACACAACTGAGTGAAATGTAGTAGCATCATCAAAAATATCATATGAAATCCTAAAAAGAAAATACGCAAACTAAAGTGAGTGAGAGCTAAAGAAAACATTAAGGCACATTATTGTAGACCATCTTAAGGAATAATTCTTCTAGATATCTAACCTTTTGCTCTGTGACGTGTTATCTCCTTTAAGGAAAGGCCTTGGTGCCATATGTGTTGTTGTCACCAGTGTGTGACCGGTCAACTTGACTGGCACGAAGGGTAATTGTTGTGGGAACACTGAGGCACTTCTTTATCGGTGTTTGTGGGCTCTAGGATGTGAAATCCTTGAGGCCATGAGCGTCGGACGCAGGTGACTCAGTGTTTAGTCTACTCCTTCAGAGTTGTTGATTTCTCTCTGTGAACCAGTTAAAAGGTCTAGCATAGAGAGAGGTTCTTCAGAATTGACGTGGCAACTCTACCGTGTAGTCAGAACCTCTGACTCTTTGATTTGTGATGTGAATCCTCCGGCCGAATACTCTGAATAAACCCATCAGTGTTTGACATCAAAGCTCCAACTCTCACCGTATCTCCTTCCTGAGTCGGTGACTCCATGCATTACTACACAGAAGTTTCCTCCACAAATTGGCGTTGTCGGCAGGATACCAACAGATCTTCAGAGACTGGTAAGTGTGATTTCAAATCTACATTTGGACATTGCCTTACCAGAATCTGTGATTGACGGTATCCTAAAATTATCTGTGAAGCTAAGCGGCTGCGTTTCGTTTTGGTTAATGAACATTTGGGGCTAGTAACCCCAGGGGATCATCCAGGGACTCTGTCTTGGCTGGTTCCCTCTGTGTGTGCTGCTCGGGACGTATGTGCCGTGCAGGCATACACGGAGATGTTTAAAAAGACCTTAATGAGGGCAGCAGTAAAGTGGAACTTCTGTGTGAAATCAAAATAGAGATTTGTAATGAACAAATCGCCGAGATTCCGGGGGTTTCAGCGGCCAACACTAGCAGTTAACTAAAGCAGCCAGAGATATTACCCCCAGCGCCTCTAAAAAAAACACGGCTCCAGCTGCGGCTCCGGGGAATGTGTGTAAAATACCTCCCCGTATCTGCATGAGCTGGTGAAGTGAACTCAGAGGGAGAAAATCACAGCTTTTGTCTATAACTTTAACTCACACCACCGCCGTCTCTATTAAAAACGAGACGGTTTAAAAGCACTCTCGTGGCTTGTGGCCGTTTACGATGTGCTGGCAGGTGCGAGGTACGTGCATTACCTGATGCGACAGGCTCCCTACATTGCTGGAGGAGCTGGTGTCGGTCCGGGGTGCATACATAAAATTATAGGCTAATTGATCATGGGTGGGCAGTGGTATGCAAGTGTAGAGCAAAACTGTGTTTCATCGTTGGGATGAACATGATGGGAGGTGTGTAGGCTGGTCGAGTAGGACTACAGTTAACTGTGTGGTTTCGGATAGAAAGGGTAGAGGAAAAAAGTCTATGTGCTCCAGATCGGGGGGGCATAGCACCACTAGAGCAGGGATAGTGGGGTCGCAAGAGGATAAGCTAGTTATTGCTCTTGGACGGTCTTCAGGCACCGATCTAAGGACTTGTATACAAGGGTGGAGGCACGAGTCAAGGTGCCCCACTGGATTCCCATTGGGAGAGATCATATAGTCCCTACCCCCTCTGAAACCTCTTTAATCCGGACTAAATTGAGCTGGATGAACTTTGCTGTCGCACTGGTGTTTGTTACGAGTTCATCATGTTTGTTTGTCTGATTGTTTGTATCAGGGGTCTATATTGGTTTGTCTAACCGCCGTCTTGTGCATGTTTTGTAACAACTAATAATTAATCAGTCCATAGCCAGGGTAAAATAAACTAAGCTTTAGTTAACTCACCAAAAGTAAATGACTTGAGAAAGATAAATAATATATAGTGTTTTGCAAAATTCTGGTAGTATAAATGTGCTGCAAATGAAAATAAATAGCAAAAGAGTGTTTTTATGTCCTGCATCTGAGTGTGCAGAGGAAATGTAAACAAGAAGCACACTGTTCAGGGTGTGCGCTGTAGGTGTAAGAAGAAAATAAGATTATATTACTTTTAAGAATACATTCTTAAATTGTATTGCTGGTATGTTAAGATATGTTTGTGACCTTTTATAAACCCTATGCCCCGTCCTGCACCCTGAGACCCTCAGAGGCATCACTGCTGGTCGTAAAAACCCTGCCTGAGGAGGTCAGGGTGGCAAAATCTGTCTGCTGTTTTAGGTCAATGTTGTATTATTTGTTTCATTTATTCTTAAATCTATGTATTGTATGGTAATAATGAAAAAAACGTAATGTATTGAACACATTCCGAAACAAAGCTGATAAGACAGAACTTGACTCAGACATAATACAAATTATTGTTGAAACATTTTGCGCTGTTGCTGCAAAATGGAAACTTTGTTGATTATCTATTCCAACTGGCCACTGGATTCAGATAATTAATATAAGTTGAAGTTTAATTACAGTTTTAAATATAGTTTAACATTCTTTATTAAACTGCTTCAAATGATTTCTCGTATCAACCAATTGGTCTCCACAGACATTACTAAAATTCTAATAGTTGTTAAACTACTGACAAGTTTTCTGAAACCGAGCTAATGAACAAAAGAGTAAAGGTCGCTGGTTAAGCCAGGATCAATATATTTGTTGACGTTTTCATTACAGTGTGCATAATAAATGTGTTAAATGAATTGAGCAATTATTTAAAAAGTATAATGTTGCAATCTCTTTACAATAAGTAATTACAGTTAACAAAGAAGTAGAGGTTGTTTTCCAAGGGCCTCTCCTTCACAGCCCTACACTTTAAATCATGAGACTTTCAAATCATAACAGACAGAGATCGGTATCACTTTGTGTTGCAAGCCAAATCCATGTAAAGGTTCTACTTGAGCCCAATTTAAATACCATAAAGAAAGTATTGAACCCAGCTCAAGCTAAATGTCAAATGTATTTAATTAATGTACAAGTGTTTTGATTTATTTCAAATGTTCTAATCTCAGCTTCTTTCGAGTTCAGTCTAAGCAACAAATTGTTTCTCATAACATTCTCACTGCTGTCCCAAATGTTTTAACCTTGGGCAGACAAGCTGTTCACACACCCACACACACCCACACACACCCACACACTTTGGATAAGTAGTCACCTTATCCACATTGTAAATTGTTGCCTTCTTTAAAGTTATTAGTAATTTAAGATTAATTATTAAATTAAATGTGGTACATAAGATAAAATAAATAAAATAACTTGACTTGATAATGTTGTTCACAACATTAGACCTGTCCTCTAATCTCTACTAGAATAAGATAAGTGTGCATGTTTGGATGTTTTAACACTCCTGTAATGTACCTCATCTTGATATCCTTTTCATTACAGAGCTGGGAAAATGGTGTATTGATTAGATTCTGATCCGTGCAAGTCCAATTTTGACTGACTTTAGTTCTAATGTTAATGTTAATTTGACTTCAACCCATAAGTAATTATTTAAATTAACTCTAAATGTCACATGATGATGGATTAGTGTTCCATATTTCTTCCACTAATTTGTTTTACAATTAGGCCAAAGGTAAAGAGAGACATTGATGACCTTGTGTCCCTTTTGTTAGTACGTGGTTCCATTTTGTCTATGGCCTTGGACGGCTTCACTAAAAGTCACCCAGTTCTGCCCTGCTGCAGTCCGGCTGAGTGCAGTCACAGAGATGCTATGGCTGCTCTACATGACATTAATGGTCTGGTCTGAATGGACACCATTTCCTGCTCCCAGAGAGAATGACACTCCTCAAACTGAACATTACAGCCGTTGATACTGTCTCACATGGGTCTGCTCCCCCCCACTGAGCCATGAACTGAAAGCATGACATCTGCTATGAACACTTGGAAGCCTCCCTGTCACACCAGCACCAACCCTTGGGTCAGTCAGATGAGACTAACGGCTTCACTTAGGGCATTTGGTTCAGATACATGACTCTCGTTACCGCAGAGTGGGTTGTTTTTAAGGCTATTCATACTGCTATGCAGAGGATGCCTGTAAGTTGGCGAGCTGGTAAAAGCCCCTACTATTGTTTCAAATAGGCCTAATGTCAGGGGTCTCTTAATGTCTAGTTCTACATGTATTCACATTATATAGACAATGTTTCCACCTGGTAAAACTAAAGGCTGCACAAAACTCAGGCTACAATACAACCATTATGTTCTGCTCTAACGATTCAATGTATAGATTCTACATCAAAACAATTAGCTTTTATTGTTTCCAATGATAACGTCACCTTAAGTGGAGGAATGCAAACCTGTTTTCAAATGTAAGGTTTTGATTTTGTTTGACATTTCTCAGTAATGACACCCAATATCATTCATGCTGCCATCAGTAATAACTCAGATGTTAAAGGGATGAAACCTTTCCTCCCAAATCAGATATGCTTTGTTTTTCAACAAATGTATCCATTTCCTGCATAATATATGTTTATCACATGGTTTTTTGTAAGCTGCACACAGGTGATACTGAGTCTTCTCGATTAATAGAGTATAAACTATACCATGTTTAAATAGACTCCTAAGTTATTATTTCATATGTACCATATGTAAGAAAAGGGAGGGAAGAGTCAATTATATTGAGTAATTGATTTTATATTGGGTAATTTATTTCTCAAACCTATGTTTTATGGAAGAGACTAAATATTTCTGATAAACTAATATGTTATCAAAAGGTAAATGGTGAATTAATATACATTTAGAATCATTGAGAAGGGGTTATATCCACAGGGACAAGCTCACCTTTAACTTACAATAACATGTCTCTGCTATGGACTGATGAGTATATGATTCTTGCATGTTCAATGACTAACACAAACCTTCAAAATGATAATGTGCATGTGTCAGGAAGGCTCCCAAATAATTCTGAGGGGCCTATCCTATTTTTGTAATTAAATGATAATGTGCTAATCCATTACTTTGAGTTGTCTTCACTCAGAAAAACATCCCTATCAGGTGTTAACCCAATAACTAGGACAGCTCTCAAGGCCAAGGGTCAGAGAGAGAGGGTCACACTCTCCGGGTGCAGAGAGCACCCCCAGCCACGTGCAAGGAAGCACGAGGTCGTTCGAGATGGGATGCTTCTCTTCACCTTTCTGATAAGAGGGGGTTCTTCTCTTCATCTTTCTGCTCGGTGGGCTCTAGCAGACAACCCTGCAGGACGAGCGAGGGTTTCAGAGGCTTCTATAATACAATGTTCCATGTTTCTTGGAGGAGTTTGATGTCTTCCTAACCTCTCCCATCACGGGGGGGACACCTGGATGCATCAGGAATACGCAGTTGTACTCAAGCAGATAGCAGAAGGAATACCGGCAGATGAGCCTCCGTCTCACTAGGGGATTAACTACAGTGCTCACTGAATGAGCCACACAAAAGCAGAGCAATTGGGGGGTTGAAATATGGCGCTCTGATGAAGAAGAGTTTGAGCCAATCAGCACCTCAGTGCTAATCTACAGTATCAGGATGCCTTTACACACCAGACACTCTGTGTCATAAAGGGAGGAGGAGAACGAGTCAGGAAGCCTGACGGACATGTTCTTCCAGCTCTTGTACAAAGATGAACTTTGAATTGAATGACCAGATGTTTAAAGATGTACAATTAATGATTGTTTTTTATATTTCCAATGACCAGACATGTGTTAAATAGTGGTGATAAATATATTTAGTCAGATCAGATTACATTTTCACACTAAACAAAATTAATAAATAAATATTTTCAGATTATAAGGTATTGAATAATAAGGTATTTCTAATATTATAACAGATAATGTTAATATCCTTAATCATCCAGAAATCAGGCTTAACAACACAACTCTTTAATGTATTACCCATGCACAGACAGACCTAACATGATGTTTCAAGTACTGGATTAATTTCAGTTTTGGCCCAAAACAAATATTTATAATAATTGATATAACAATTATGTAGCATATTTGATCCTCAAATTAGAGAATTATAATTTAAAGAAATTGATATTCTATATTCAACATTAGATAAACACAGAAGAACCCTTTCCAAGTACCATAAGTAGATTTTCAGGTAAGTATGGCTAATAAGAATAATTGATAGACTTAATTTGGTACAGATCAGTTGTAGCATTTACAAATGTATGAATTAAAGTTTTAAGAATGTTTAATCCTTCCTTTCCAGGTTTTTACAAAAGTCTTTGAATATTTGCCTAACTTTTCCTTTTCAGATTTTGAACAATGTACTTGACTAAAATGAATGTATTGATTTTACTAAGTAAGTAAGTGCCTTACTCTTGACTAAAGCGTAATGAAGTAGACGTAAGTAATCCTAAAATTGAGGACACTGCAACTTTGCCGATTACAGATTGATCAAATCACCACTGTGAATTTTATGCCTTAGCTGGATCTCTTATGATCCTAAGTTTTAAATGCTTTTGACTAGTGATTGCCTTAAAGCAAATCTTTAAGCTGTTTCTGGTTTTGATTTTATAGTTTGATAAATGACATTAACTAATGGTTTAAATGATAAAAGATATTAGTTTAAAACAAATATTTTGCTATTATGTATCTGTGTTTTATGTGTGTTCATTATTGTACTTATTGACAAAAGATGCTCCAAACACTGATGAGAGATAATTTTTCCTATTATGATTGCCTGTATCAATCATTGTGATTGAATGTTTCAATCTTATTCTACTTTGTGATGTAATTGAATGTAAGGTGAGACCACACTCGAATCTGAAGACGCCTATTGATTTAAGTATTGACCAGAATTATTAGACTAATGTTTTAAGGTTATCAAAAATGATAAAAAGAGAGGAACTGTTAAGGAATAATTCTTCTAGATATCTAACCTTTTGCTCTGTGACGTGTTATCTCCTTTAAGGAAAGGCCTTGGTGCCATATGTGTTGTTGTCACCAGTGTGTGACCGGTCAACTTGACTGGCACGTAGGGTAATTGTTGTGGGAACACTGAGGCACTTCTTTATCGGTGTTTGTGGGCTCTAGGATGTGAAATCCTTGAGGCCATGAGCGTCGGACGCAGGTGATTCAGTGTTTAGTCTACTCCTTCAGAGATGTTGATTTCTCTCTGTGAACCCGTTAAAAGGTCTAGCATAGAGAGAGGTTCTTCAGAATTGACATGGCAACTCTACCGTGTAGTCAGAACCTCTGACTCTTTGATTTGTGATGTGAATCCTCCGACCGAATACTCTGAATAAACCCATCAGTGTTTGACATCAAAGCTCCAACTCTCACCGTGTCTCCTTCCTGAGTCGGTGACTCCATGCATTACTACACAGAAGTTTCCTCCACAAATACTACATTCTGCTTTTAGACAGCCATGAGTAAAGCACTGGTATGGAGTTAACATGCACAGTATCTGTGTTGAACTCTTACCGTCATGTCTTTTGTGCTTTCAACAAATTTGCTGTGTCTCTTTGATCCTGAGCCAGCAACAGTCATTCCAAACATCTGAAACAAAAATGGTTTTAGCTTCTATTACTTACACAATAATTTAAGATGGAAAGAAAAGGCTACAACAATGCTAGCAGTTACAACATACTGCGCTTTCACACCGCAGTACTTTTCCCACTTTAGTTCCGATATAGTTCCGAAATGTCGCGTTCACACCAAGAAGATCTGGAACTAAAATGAGTTCATCAGAACCTTTTTTACCCCCTTTTTTCCAAAAGATTTTGTGAAGCCGCCATTTTATTATCCTTGCATTAGCATTATTAGCATTAGCATTAGCCCAGCGCACAAACGCAGAGAGACTAACTTATGGCAACACGAAAGAAAACATGGGAGCGGTGGAGATGAGGAGGTGTCGGCGTTCTGGCAATTACTCCCCAACTCCGGGGACTTCCGGCCGGGGACTTCGGGTGGCAGTATACGCCGTGAAGTTGTTTGCGGACTACAAGTAAACCCAAAGCAGAAGAAGAAGAAGAAGTGACGTCAGCGGCTTCATTTGCCTAATCCTCCCAAGCCCCCAGGAAGTGCGCCGGACTCAGATGAAAATATTCGTGCTGGCCAAACGGCGGTACTACACTTTCTTTTGGTTGCCAGGCCCGGAAACACTTTTTCCCATTGACTTACATGGGGAAAGAGTGGTCTGTAAATCGTTGGATAATTTTTTTTAAACTAAATAAACTACCCAGTATGAACACTTGTATAGCCCTTATTAAAAACATTCGTTCCTCAAGTTGTAAAAATGTGCTAATAACGTTATTCTGAGAGTTATTTCCCTCTGCATTATGAACGCGCATCTAACCCACGGGACCGCGCCGCCCGGCACGTTCATGTTACGTGTTCAATACTACATGCGTTTATCTTTACCCATGGATGTACAATAAGAACGGACCCATATCGCCTTACTGCCAGCCCACGGAGCTGTAATAATGGATATATTGCACATGTTTGCTGTAATTCATCATTTGTAAAATATTATACTACATGGGCTGTATGATTAAATCTTGTACCGTAAATGTTGTATTAAATAAAGTTAATATTACCGACGTAGATTAACGTCCCTGTAGCTTCTTATTGCACTAAGAAGCTTATTGCACTGTATATATATATACATACATATATATATATACAGTGCAATAATTCTTTCATGCTAAATGAAGCTCTGTTGCTTGGATATCACTAGATCCTGTTACAGCGTAATATAAAAGTACATAACGATTGATGTGTAAATTAGCATAATTACTAGCTAACCGCTAGCTGCTAACTGCCGCCTCGTTAATATCAAATCTAACAAACCATTACCATGCTGTCATGAACGTGCGGTGCTGCGCAAATTGACGTGCTTGATGTGAACGAGCATTTTGGGGGGCATGGTTAAAGTTGCGCATGCGCTATGAGCGCACATAGGGGTACTTCTCAGGCATGCCGGGTAATCTGTGACGTTTCGCTCTCTCAAAAGTTGGGCCATTTTATCATCATGCGCGAATGAGCAACTCTCATAGGAATGAATGAGGCCCCGCCTCCCACGCTGTATCCAGTTCTTATTATACATCCATGAATCCTCCCCCAGGGACTTATTCCTGTGTGAACGCGATCTGTACTTAGTTCATGAGAACTAAAGAGTTCTCATGAACCTTTGTGGGAAAAGTACTGCGGTGTGAAAGCGCCAAATAAAGTGTGTGACGGATAAAAAAATAATGTAACTATATATAGATTTAAAGAGGCCCTATTATGCTTTTGGGGTTTTCTCTTTCCAGTAGTGTGTTCTATAGGTTTGTGTGCATGTAAATGGTCTGCAAAGGCTAAAATCTCTGTGTTCCCTCCAGAGGCAGTTTCTCTCCCACACACTGCCGATGCACACTCACCCCTTGGTTGAGAAAGTACTTGGCCCCCATGGCCCAGTCATACATGCCCAGACAATCATTGAGAGCCACAGTCTTCCAGGGGTTAGACATCGTCTCTTCTTCTGTCAGGAAGTTGTATCGAAAGAGCTGCTTCACCCTGTAAATGTGTATCTGACGCTTTAGTTTGTATAGATTAGAATATGATGGAGGGTGTTAGTAATAGTAATATGTTGATACCTCAGGAAGGTCAGCTCTCTCATTTTCTCCATAGAGACATCTTCACCAGGAAGGCGTGCAAACAGGGGGTCGTCCTCAAGTGTCTTCCACAAATTGTGCTGCAACACAAAAAAAAGGGTGTAATGCACAGAGGAGCATTTAGATGACATAAAGTACAAAACTTAATTTAAGGTCAAGAAGGAACACCAGATTTTAAGTTAACATGAACAAAAAGTCTTTAAAGTGCTGTGAAAAAGTTAGTAAAAGAAAAAAAGAGTATTTCTTTTTTTATTTGGCTTGTATCAATAGGTATTATCACAGTTTGGGTGGTGGTAAAGTACATGTGCTTTGCAAAAATAAAAGGGCACCCTATAGACTATTATAATAAAGATGACACTTTTAAACACTTCATTTTAAAATAACAGAGGTCGAGAGATGTATGGGGAAAATGGCAGGTGTTGGTTTCAATGCTATTTTGAACAGGTGAAAATGAATCCACGTTGCATAGAGTATCTCTAAGACGATAATAGGGACTGGTACATGCAGATCTTTTCTACAGAGAGATGTAGAAGCTGACAGCTACCTTGAATGCCAAAATCTCCTCTCCCTCCAAGAAGAAGAGCATGTCCTTCCAGTTGAAAGAGGATTTCTTCCTGTACACATCCAGGGGGCCACTGGGGAGGTCAGCCACTTCATGAGCCATCTTGTTGTATTCAGGCTGACAATATCCACTTTAAAAGGGGAAAAAACAAGTAATTGGTTTCTCATCATTGCAATAACTGTTGTTTTTGGCAATGCGGCAATATTCCACCACTACTGTGTCTCTTTGTCGACATTTAGTTTCAAGAACTTCATTAATTTAGCTCATAAGTCACTCGAATGAGCTCTACCTTCACCAGTTGTGATGAAAACACGTGAATAATCATAATAGTAACTCAGTATACAATTCTGAAAAGGGCCAATACGGTATTTTTGGTATTTTAAGTATATTTTTATGCCAATACTCTTTTACTTTTACTAAAATAAGATTTTGAATGCAGGACTTTTTAATTAGAACAAAGTACATATAAAATGTAGTATTGCTACTTTTTCTTAAGAAATACATCTGAGTACTTCTTCCACCACTGGAATCATAGTACACATGTAGTAGGTTCCAGTTAAACTAAACTTAAACAACACATAGATTCAGTGGTGTCAGGTAACTAAGTACATTTACCCAAGTACAATTTTGAGGTACTTTACTTTAGTATTTCAATATTTTTGCTACTTTGTAAAGGTAATAGGTGAATGTTGTAATTTTACTCCACTAAATGTATTTAATACCTTTAGTTACTTTACAGATCTGGATGAATGATGTGAAATCTAATCAAGTGTTAAATCAGACTTTAGTTCTGGAGTAAATTCACAAGCTACCCTGCAGTATACAAAGTCATTCAAACTAGCTGCACCTTTACCAGCTTTGATAACACTTTAATGATCATCATTATAAAACATATCATATATTATTCTGAAATGGACCAATCTGCACCATGACTACATTTACTTTTGGTACTTCAACTATGTTTTGATGATAATACTTTTCTACTTTTACTTGGATAAAATGTACTTTGAACAGATTATTCCTACACTCTGGTACTTCTCCCACCTCTGTAAAACACCATATAGATTCAGTTTTATCTTCCCAGGAAATCAAACCAACCTTTATAGTTGAGCTGCTCAGTTCAAAGTCTCTGGAAGCTGTTTCACTGGACGATAGTAAAAAAGGTGACTGTTATTAAACCCTGCCATTTCCCACTGTCCCAGAATAGCCAACATATTAAAGTATAGGTTGTTACTGTTAAGTTATCTGACAGCCCTGACTCGGTAGTGTTTCTCCACTATTACCTTACACAATGTGTTGTTCCAATGTAGTCACAGCGTTACAGCGGTATACCTGAAGAATTAGTAAATAGTTTACATGTATAATAATTTGTGTGGCTATGTCTTACCTGCAGTTCTGTCAGCTTACCTTGTTAATGTCGCTCACTCGTTTCTTCCACTGTTATACAACTAGTGTGACAGTAGCTGTGTAACCTTTACGCAGCCATGCTAGCATAACAACACCGTTTCCTGAATGTACCCTTCAAAATAAAAGCACCATCTTCACACGGTTATTGAATGTGAACCTTCAGAATAAGAGTACAAACGTGTGTTTGTTATTGTATAAAACAAATGTGCAATAACAACTGTTCTGTACATTTATGCCGTTAAAACTGTGTCTGTATTTCAGCGTGAAAGACCGAGTTGCTAAAACGCTTTAGCCTGAATCGCGTTTCCGGTCCAATTACTTCAGTTTTTCATGGTTTCTCTTTATCATCAATGTTTCATGACAAGGTTTCTTCGTAATATTTGCTACATTATGCCAAACTAAAAATGTAAAAGTTTAAGAACTAATATTTTACTGAAAGAAATAAATGATGGAGCGACTAAGGCAAACCTTGTATGCTGAATCATGCATGTATTCTTAAAGTGAGATCTAAATAACACAATTTTAGTCCAATAAATATAAAATCTTGAAATGACTTTGTTACACAACTAGGACCCACCTCTTTGTATAGAATTGTACTAACTGTTCTATTTCTTTTAGGTATTGTTATGAAAATGTATACAGAAATGTGTCATTTATTTTCTATTGCTTCATGTCACATACTATATAAACAATTCCTACATTACAAATAAATAAACAATCCATACTGTACATTAAAAACAAAACAAAAAATCCATACATTGAAAATAATAAAATAGACAATCCATGCATTACAAAATTATAATAAACAATCCATATATTAAAAATAAAATGAAATAAACATTCCATACATTAAACAAATACAAATAAACTATCCATACATTAAGAGTAGAATTAAATAAACAATCCATACTTTAAAAATAAAACAAACACCCATAAATAAAAGATAAAAAAACAATAATATACATTGAAAAAATAAAATAAACAATCCATACATTAAAGATAAAATAAAGTAAACAATCCATACATACATTAAACAAATAAAAATAATCAATCCATACATTAAGAGTATAAATAAATGAACGGATTGCTCATTTAATTATACTCTTAATTAAATGAGTAAAAATAAATAACGTTAAAAAAATTTGAATAAATAAAACATCCATGCATTAAAAAAAAATTTGAATAAAAAAACAATCTATACTTTAAAAAACATTCAAATAAACAATCCATCCATTAAAAACCTTAAAATTCAAACAATTATTTATTTTTTATGTAAGGATTGTTTTTGTTTAGTTTTTTTAATGTATGGCTTGTTTATTTTTTATTCATTTTTTATTTATGCATTGTTTATTTTAATTTGTTTTAATGTATGATTTTTTTATTTTTTATTTTCAATGTATGGATGTTCATTTAATTTTTTTTCATGGATGGTTTCTTTGAATTTTTTAATATATGGATTGTTTTTTATAAAAAAAATTATGTATGGATATTTTTAATTTCATTTTAATGTATGGATTGTTCATTTTATTTTCGTTTATTTGTAATATATGGATTTTTATTTGTTTTTTTAATGTGTGGATTGTTTATTTTATGAATGCAGGACTTTTACTTGTAACTGAGTATTTCTACACTCTTGTACTTGTACTTTTACTTCTAAGTACCAGATCTGAGTACTTCTTCCACCTCTGGTTAGCCCCAAGAAAAAACTGAAAGCATCAGCATTCTGGGTGGATTACCACGGTGTGCCAGCCCGAGTTGAATGGTTAAGGATGCTTTCACTTCCATTCCCAAATGTTGATTCATAATCTGTCTGTATCTATAAGAGAAACCATCATCCTACAAGATAGTTCAGAGCATGATCAGATGTGACTGTAATCAGATATCTTCTTCTATTTAAAGGCCTTGGATTTGTATTGCTATTATGTACACATTTCCTAAAGCGTCTAATGTAACAATGTAGTTCTGTCGGAAGATCATCATGTTACCTAAACTGCCTTTCCTGTAGTGTGTTAAATAGGTATTGTGCATGTAAAGGTCCCCTAATATACTCTTGTTCAACAGTATATTACAGGTCTCAGATAAATACAAAACATGTCTCTGAAGTGTTTGGCTGAAACACCAAACAGATCATTGCAGCATCCCATAATCCCCTCTGTTTCAGCCCTGTTCCAAAAGTGCTGATTCAGTGTCTGTAGCTTTAAATGCTAATGAGCTGCTGCTGCTGGCCACGCCCCTCTGAGAAGTGATTGGTTAAAAAACCACAATGGTGCTATATAGAGGATATTCAGGTGATAAGGTGGGGGGGTTACCTTGGTTGGTTATTGGCTAATGGTTGCCGAACCCAAAAAACATAGTGACATCACAAAGTGACCAAAATCTGATCAGCTCATTTTCAGACACGTTTTTATATAAATGGATCAGGACAAAAAGAGAGAGAATATTTTTTGCTGGAACTTTCTGAATCTCTTTACACAGAGGGGATTCATATTTATGTATAAAATACATGAAAAGTGGATTTTGCATAAAAGGTGACCTTTAAATGTTTTATTACAGAACTTATACACTGAAACTCAAATATCATTATGCCATGCGTTGGACCAATTGACATGAAATTGTTGAATGAACAAATGCATTTATTAAAATGTAATAATCCAAAAGGTGAATATAGGCAACAATATATTTTTTACATATAAAATGAAATAGAGTGCAGAATATATGAAATGCACACACATTTTCACACAGTATTTACACATTTTTCTCTCAGAAAGACAACATTTCTTCATGAAAACGTATTATTTGTGTATATAATTATATGTAGGCCAATGCTGCCCTCTGCCTGAAAATTAAGAAATATAATACACCTTTTCACTTTTTTTTTATCCTGTAATTTGATTTTAACTTGTCAGATGTAAAAAAGAAAATAATGAAAATACCTCAGTGTACTTTTTGGGTTAACTTGTTCCTGGCTAGACACCTGTAATATTTGTACAAAGGTCACACATTTTACAGCTGCTGCTCATTAGAATCAATCTTACTTTATTGACAATAAAGTGGTCGTTTGGATTGTCTTTTGGATTGTCATTGGGATTGTCGTTGAGATTGACGTTAGGATTGTCATCTGCATTTGCATTGCGATTATTTGGATTGCCAACTATTGGCTGTCCTGGCAGCTCATGATTTCGAATAGTCATTAGATGTTCTCCACAGAGGTTCTTTGCTTTTTCTTTTGCTATTATTCTTAGCTCCTCTTTCAAATGGCTGCTCACCTCCTCTGACAGGACTGATCTGTAGTACGGAGGGTAGCAAAGGTCCCCTCGAGATACAAACAGGGAGGCGACACTTTGGATGTTTGCGCTACAAACATATGAAAAAAAACAAAGAAGACATCTTGACCAAATCTAAAGAAGGAAAACTCCAATGATAACTCCAAACCCCAAGTCCTAGGGAAGAAACAAAGGCAAACTTTAGGACTTATAAAACTAATATTTAATCACATGCACTACTGCTTTGCGGGAGTATCATGTGAGAAGTACCACACAATGGTTCAAACAGAACCTCATTTATGGTTACATTCATGTCCAATTATATTTACACTGCTAGAAGTACGATTGCAGATCGAACTAGAAAATGCATTTCCTGCTGAAAATGCGTGTGAATCCTGTAAGCTGCGCAAATGTGTTGCTGAATTTAGCTGAGAATGCAGAAAAAGCTGAATATTGTAATAGTTGAATGGTGACTGTACTGTAGCTTCTTTTAGCTACAAACTGCTGGACTTAGCGTAAAAAAGCAGAAATGATTTGAATGAAAATGGTTAAAGCTAAAATGCATCGCAGTGACTTTGTTGAAAGCTTGAAAGTGAAACTGGAAGAGTAGGACAAATAGTGATGAAGCTTAATATTTCAAAGAAAAGTTGAAAAGGTATAAACAACTACAGTAAATGTGTATTAAAGCAACCCTCCTGTGATATATATGCACACACAGATGTTTGAGTGAGGGAGGGGTCAGACTGAGTGATGATGAACACTGTGCTTTGTTTCAGGAGGAAAACTCAGTTCTAGTCTCAGATCACTTCCACATGTTCTCCATCAGCTTCGTACGGCACCTTGGACATCATACAAGATCCTTTTTTATTTTTGAATTCAAACCTTTATTAATTATCCAAACATTTCATTTGATCACACATCCCATCAGTAAAGTTTATTCAATGACTATTGTTCAATGATTTCATGACCACTTTCACTTTATCCACACCATGTTTCATCTCAGCTATTTCAAACAGAATAATACATTATTTACTTATTGATTATTATTATGATAATTAATGTTCTATAAAACATCAGAGTACCCCATTTGTATTTGGATAACAACAACAACAACAACTAGTCTGCAAAAACATTACTAATATTATACAATTTAGCAAAGACTCTATTTACAGGAGAATAATAAATGATTTACTTATTGATTATGATCATGACAGGAAGTAATATCATTTTAAATAAACATGTTATGATGAAATAAGTGTTATAACCACCTGGGGAACTCATGTGTAGTTCATTTGGGCAACAATAACATTTAATCTGTCAAAATAATACATGTGATTATAAATGTCTCTATTGTTTTAGAAAGTGGCCAGAATCAAATAAAAGAAGCTCTGCTGCTTTCTCTCTGAAGACTCGTGCATCACAAGAGAAACAACAACATGAATCAAAAGAAATATCCAACACATATTTAGAGCAAAGTTTACATATCAGTTCAGGTGAACAAGGATCCTCCTGAGCAGTGACAGCCTCCATGGCTACACAGACCCAGGAAGGAGCCGGAAGAAAGTCCAACATCTACAGAACAACTCATGAGAAGATGTTCAAGCCCCACCCATCATGTTTGATTGACAGCTGGTCTCTGCACAGTGAAGACATGAACAATCAGCTCTGATGGACACACGGTGAGTTTAAGAAGTAGAAGAGTTCCTCCAATGACTTCAGGCTATTTGAGTTTACAAAACTCAGCAGTGTCTCCATCATCATAATAAAGCCTAACTCCAGCATGTAGCGGCTGAGTGAATGTGGTCTGCACTCTGTGGAGGAGA